AACGATTCATGGACGCGTTTAGTTACACTGACTACAATTGGCATAGAACGTCCGAATAATTGAATAAACCCTTTTGTTTTTTACAAAGCATAAATAAATGACTATTTTTACACTTTTACAAAAGGCATTGATTGGCTCTATGGCGAGTGAAATAAATACTCTTTATAATAGATAATGTAGGTATATATAGGCACTTTTTTTTGTGAAACGTTTATATTCCTGAATGGATGAATCTACGCCCATATGATTATCTCTATGCGTAGGATTCTATGTGTTTGGTTATTCTAAACATAGTTCCCAATAAAAATAAACAATGCGCAGACATACATACATATTCGTATGTAAATAGACATGTATATATATATATATATATATATGTTGTAGATGTCTGTATATCCAATTATTAAGTTTTGCTTGTTTATATTACCACCCATGCGCAAAATATAAATGTGCATTAGGGTGGTCCAAAACAAGTAAAGTCGGAATCTGAATGCTCTCATCCCCTAGGACTGTTCTATATCGAAAAAAGATACCCCTATTTTTTCATTTTGAAATCCAAAAATATTTTGTGGTCGCTTAATGCGCTCAAAGTTTTCCATGTATTTCATATGAAGAAAAAACAACTTTTCGTAGAAATGGTATCGAATTCTTTAAAATAAATATTTTTCGTTCGGAAAACTCTGGTTCTCTTCAGGAGACTTCCAATAACAATACCCATTGCATTTCTGGCATTTTCTTGGGGTTTTGGCGGACCTATAAAATATAGTTACTATGGAAAAGTTGTTAAATAAATAATTGGGTATTACTATTGGGAATCTTCTGAAGAGAAACAAAGTTTTCGTTTCGAATAATATTGCTTTTCAAGAATTCTATACCATTTCTACGAAAAGTGGTTTTCCCCATATAAAATACATGGGAAACTTTGAGCGCTTTCAGCGACTTCTAAATATTTTTTGATTTCAAAATAAAAAGTAGGGGTATATTTTTTCGGTATAGAACAATCCTATGGGGTGAGAGCAAAAAAAAATTCCGACTTTACTTTTATAAATTCATTTTTGGACGACCTAATGTACATACATATGTACGCTTGAATATGCGTATGTATGGTTGCTTGGTTGAAAGTGAATTGGTTTAGAGAAAATACTTAAACTTTGCTAAATTGTCCGAAAATGAAACTGTCTTTACATGGGTCGAATTCCGCCGACTGGAAAATTGACTAGAAAATGTACTAGGCTTTCCGACCAACAAAACATGACGACACTGTGCGGCGCCGAAACCAGCCCAAACTTTGTTAACATTTTCTGAAAGTATACCCATCCAGTAATAAAACATTCGATGGATTTGCAAAAGATAGCTCGTATTTTTATTTTATGGCCTGCTATAGTCTCCATGTCCCGGCCTAAGAAGTTTTCAAAAAAGTGGAAAAAATGGTTAAAATAACTGTCTGAGCGAAATTCGAGGTTAAGACATATATACATATGTAGTAACATTTCATGAAAAATATTTTCGTAGAACAATTTAACCCCTTAGCTCCCGCCTTAAAGGGTCGTTTTGACCCTTACTTCAAGGAACCCCGCAAACAACAAATTTGGAAGTTCGCTAGAGGATTGAAATATTCTAGACAATTATTTTTCGGAAAATTCTACTGGGGGTATTTTCAGGAAAAAACTTCATACCATCAACGTAAATTTTTCTTAAAATAAAAAATCTATGCCAAGAAGAAATAACAGCCAAGCTCAATATTTAAAAAAAAAATTAAAAAGATACATCACGTTTTTTACTACTGGATGGGTAAACTTTCAGAAAATGTTAACAAAGTTCGCACAGTGTAATCGAATAATCAAAAGTTGAACGCAAGTCTACTTTCACTCCGAAAATTTTTGTCGGTTGAAGGCACTACGTGAATAGATTTTAGTTGCACGTCTAAAAGCAGCTTAAAAGTTTCATAAAGTTAAATAAAATTTAAATGAATTGTATGAAACAGTAGATAAAAAAAATAAGTAAATTCTTCTTCTTGTTTGGCGCTAAGACCACCTATACTATTTTGGCCACAGACGACAAATGAAGATGCCCTGTCCTTCTCCAATTGCTCTTCCCATCGTACAGGAGTAGTGGGATACTAGCGGATTTCGAGTTGAATAATTTAAGGGCTGGGGCATCTGTATCCATTCGAACGACATGGTCAAGCCTGCGGAGTACTAATATTTTAACCACTGCGCTATGTTTATGTCGTTGTCAGGCTCATATAGAGTTTATAAGATTTACGTGCGCTGGGCCTATTTGGAATACGGATGGAGAAATCGACTCTGACTTTATTCAAAAATTTACTTTTTTCTGAAGAGACTTGACTTCTTGAAATCGAGTTCAGTCGCCTTAATTCGACTAGAACCGACTCTCACTCGATGACTTTTCGATTTTTTAACTGTCTATTAATAAACCAGTCGACAAATACCCAGCCAGCAAAAAATCACAAAAATGGATCCGAAGGAGGATAAAAATTGTGGAAATGTGGATGTTAGTCCATTTACCGATTCCATTTTCGGATACTTTGACGATCAGTTTTCCCACTAAGGTGTGCGGTAGAAACTTATGTACAGACAAGTAGGGAAAATTGTTGTGAAACGGATACGTTTTTGGGTGGTTTTTCGTTCAATAGCTTTCCTTCTGCACTTCACAGAAGCTTTTTCAGGGTTCGAAAAAAAAAATTATGGAAGCGCCTGACTGAATTACAACCCGGCCCCTTATGAAAGCTAACAAATATTGGTAAGCTCCTCTGCACGCTATGTCACTGCGAACTACGTATACATGCTTTCAAATAAACAAATAAAATAAAATTTTCAAATAACTTCATATTTATCGAAAGTTTCGAACGTCTTCCGGGTACGGAAATGAATGACATTGTAGTCGTTTTCTATTCGGTTCCGGATACGGAAAATTGGCTGGGTGTATGTGGTTTTAGTAATTATTTAATTTAAAATTTAAATTTTTATTAAGTAAATTTTAATCATACAGTCGACTATCAGAGGCAATTAATCGACATTACGAATCGAAAGCATTTTCCATCCCTAATTGGGAAATACACAAAACGATTTTTCTTATGAATAAAATTACTTTACATCGGAAAATTAGGTTAAAAGCATTTTTTTCCAAAAATCACGTCAGATGACCGAAGAGTTTGAGCTTAACATGTTTAAAAATCTTATCAACGAAATCCAAATAATGATATTTTTTGAGATTTTTTTTGAAATAGTTCTAGCTCAGGTAGAACCTACTTTCACGAAATATTTTGGCGGAAGTCTCACAATAAAATAAATTTTACGATTCCGGTAAAAAACACGCAAATTTTTTTGGTGAGTCGTACTAATGTATATATTTTAACACTCAAACAGAGTTTCGAGAAAATAATTCGGCTTTTAAAAAATCTTTTTAAAAATACCTTTAAAAGATTGATTGGGCTGCATACATATAAGAAATTCGATTAATTACTAGAAAGCGTTTGCCTATAAAATCAGCATGACAACGTGCAAGGTCAACCGTAGTATCAGCTCTACACTAGGTTGCAGGACATATTCATCAGTTCCTGTCGCATAGGGACTACGTAGTTTGTGTATTTTTTGATGTCGATGTGGCTTTCAATAAAGAAGCAATCGTAAACTTCTTAGATATACAGCCTCGGTCTCGTCCATTTTGTCGCAATAAAATGGGCTAGCGCATCTCTCCAAATAAGATTAAGTAGAAGTACCGTCCAAAGAGGAGTCCCTTTACCACCTACGTCTGAGGGCTACTATGTTGGTACTTATGAGGATGTCCTAGCACTTAGGAAAGGTGCTCTTGTCCTTTGGGCCATCAAAGAATGAAAAAAGCTCGAAAATTGTCTGGATATGACATCCATTCCGACTACACCAGAATAATTCGCTATTAAGCTGATATGGGTTCCAGCTCATAGAGGTGTTGCAGGCAACTGTAGGTCAGACAAACTCGCAAGAAAGGTTGAGTAGTTGTCGCCAGTTAAAGAGAGGTGGGGCTCTATACGCCATATTTTGTCTGCTGCTGCAGAGACGGGTATCCAGTCAGTTTAGTTAAGTTCTGCTAGCCACGGGCATATCAAGAGCGGGGTAAGAAGCACCAAGAGCTAAGCAACGTGCATCCCTTTCGAGTGGCTGGCTAACGCTCATTGGAATCTATGCGACTATGTTCTTCAGTTGTCGAACTCAGCAACTGTGAAGCCTTGAATCTGGAGTTGGTGATATAATTTTTCTATTTGATGACATTTTTATGACAGCCACACCATCTTTCGCCTCAATATGTTTATTTGTCGGACACAAAGCAGAAGATACAAAACTTAAGCGTAGCCATTTGAGTCCCATTTTACTAATGATAAATGTGTTAAAAAAGACGGCTCTGCCCAAACATTAGAATTTTTTTTTATTTTCAAGTCCAAATGTTCAGAGCAAAAGAAAATAGCTCATTTCACTGATTGCATATGTTAGCACATAAATAAAATGGCAAAGTAATTATCGTTTCCAGAACGCTGAAATGTTGTAATATAATAATTAAATTAATATCTGGCACTTTTCTATCTCAAGAGTCGCCACCTCAACATTACTCAGAAAAAAATTGTGAGCTCCTACTGCATCTCTCTCGTTTCCTCCACCGGATGCATCCTATTTGTTATCATAACAAAAATTGTGTAAATAAAATTTTAATTGCACAAAATAAAAATAGCTAGAAAATAGAATTTTTATAAAAAAGTCAGTGAATACAAATTTAGTTAACAACTCACCACAACGCCAACCGCATAGCCAAAAGGCAAGCAATTCGCCAAAAAATTCACCACAGTACATTTTTCGAATTTCACTTGCCACACAATATTTTCAAATGAGCAAGTAATTACATACAAACATACATACATACATGCATACGAACTTATACAATATATGAACACACTTCCGATCGTTCACTAATGGTTTTCTGTATTTTTGCATCGCTTTTCATTTCAGTACGAGTACGGCCGCGCAACGCTCATAATCCCGCAAGCTTACCCCAACGACGCCGGAGTGTACGTATTGACAGCTAAAAATTTAGCAGGCGAGGCATATAGTTCGTGCAACGTCATCGTTAAAGGACGTCTCCCGAACGAGACATCGGACTCAGAGTTGGCTTCCGATATGGAACCGATCAAACCATCGGTACAATTGCCGCTTAAAGATGTATCGATATTCGAAGGTAAACCGGTGCGTCTTGATTGTGTTATTGTCGGTCAACCGGAACCCGAAGTCATCTGGTACCACAATGAGCGCCCAGTCAAGGAATCAGCTGATGTGCAGCTACTCTTTCAAGGTGATCGGTGTTCGTTGATCATACAGGAAGTGTATCAGGAAGATGCGGGTAACTATAAGGTGGTCGCCATCAATTCGGCAGGTGAGGCATCGAGCAGTTGTGAGCTAAAAGTCACCCCGCTGAATATTGCCGAGCCTGCGACGCGTGCACAGTCCGAACGTCAGTCGGTGCCAAAGGAAACACTACCGAAATTCGAGAAATTCCTTACCGATGTGCTGGCGGATGAGGGTGAAACGGTTGAAATGGAAGTGATTGTTAGTGGCGATCAACCCTTCACTGCCAAATGGTATCTGGCGAACAAAGAGTTGAACGAGAACGAACGTATATCGACGATCGCCAATCCTGCCGCGGGTGTGTTCAAATTGATTCTACGAAATGTGGTTGCCGACGATAGGGGCGTGTACACGGTTAAAGTTTCGAACAATGGAGGCGATGCTAAGTGCTTCTCGCAACTAAACGTTAAAAGTGTAAATGCGCCGGATCATCAACGCAGCCAGCAAGTGGAACCTGTAGAGAATTTAACTTGCCCTGAATTCAAAGAAATCTTCTCGGACAAGCAGGCACACGCTGACGATATGGTGAAGTTTGAGTGCATTGTGAAGGGCAAACCGACACCCAAAGTGCATTGGTGTTTCAACGATCAACCCGTGCATGGACACAATTTCCTAGTGTCGACAAGCGGCGACAGACAAGTGCTCACCATACAAAAGGCCAACATTGATACAGTGGGAAAAATTAGCTGCATAGCCGAGAACGAAATAGGAAAAGCCACATGTGCAGCTTTCTTGAGCCTCCTGGGACCAGGCATGCAGCCGATACCTGCCACCAGCGATCTACAGACCACCACACAGGAACACAATACCGAGTCGTCGCGTGTTACCATGAAGAAGCAAACCTTCACTACCACTTCAACGTCACAAATTAGCTCTTTTGAAGGCAATATCCCACAAACCGAGATACATCATTCCTCGGCGCATATCGACCAATCGCTAAAACAGCTGGGCGCACAACGACCCGAAGTTGTCGAAACCCATCACTATCAGGAGTTGCACAAAAGCAAAGACATGTCCGCACCAAATGTACAACAAAAATTGTTCACTCTGGTGCAGTCGGCAGGCAACGGACTGGGTCAGCCTGCGATCACCAGCAACACTGGCGTAGTGGTGCCTGAATCGCCCACGCGCCAACGCAAACAAATTGCGCCGCGTTTCACCACCCCGTTGACGGGTAGAATTGTGGATCAGGGCACAGATGTGGCAATGGAAGCGATCTATGACGGCTTCCCCTCGCCCGAAATCAAAGTGGAAAAGAATGGCGAACAACTGTTCGACAATCAGCGATTAAAGATTGAAAATCGCTGCAATCGTGTCAGTATCGTGCTGAAGGAAGTGGGTGTGGCAGATGCGGGACGTTATGCAGTCACCGCCACAAATACGATGGGACAATCAACGAGCACTGCCGATTTGGTTGTGAAGAGTAAGTACAAGATTTGTATAAGTAAAGAGTTATGTCTGTGGATAAAAAGAGGATGCTCATGGAAAATTTAATAAGAAGGAAAGTGCGATAATGTGGAATCCATTAATTAGAAATTTGCAAAACAACATACAAACTAAGTAGACCACGAACACCTACGCGCAACTGTGGGTGTCTGTTCATATGTACATACATAATTATATCCATCCGCTGATGCATACACGTACATATGTATGTGTATTTGTATTTATGAAGTTGGTCCAAACAAAACATCTACATAAATACTATGTATTCCACGAACATGTCGATAAACATTTCAGTTGCTCTTTAGTGCTGGAAAATTAGAGCAGTCCTAATGGCTTTTTATTTAATTTGATCAGTTCGCGGGTGGCGGGAAGTCAGTTCAGGGCCACAGGCAGCAATTTTCGCACAGTCAGGCAAGCTAAACTAAACAGGCAGCATTACAGCCAAGCCATAAGTATCATCACCGCCATCAACATCATCTTCATCTTCGTCTTTAGCCTTAGCTTCGTAAAAATGTTTATTTTATGAGGCTATTTGCCAAAATTTAAACATTTTTTGGTTCGTCACTCGATGTGTGCTTGCTGCCTTTTGAAATAGGCACACAAAGCACAAACAATCGCAAAGAGAATCAAAGCGTAACAAACTTGAAATTCTCTAAATATCAGTCTGCAAGCAGCATTTCAATGTTTCATATTGAATTTAATGATTTTTGGCATTTTAAGACAAAATGTAGGTGAATAAATAGAAAATAAAATAGCCAAAAGAATGATGTGGTTGGCGGTGGTCGCATGTGACGCTTGTGCAGATGATGTTGGCAATGATGAGGTACACATACATATGTACATGGTGCATATTGTGCTGAGAATCAGTCACAATTTAAAATTATTTATTTATTTAGCCATTATGATATCCGTCGGTCAACTGTTGCCGCCAAGTGTGTACGTGCATAAGTACATATGAATTATAACACATAAAGAGCATTAAATAGTGCACTCATATTTTCAAACAATTACCAAAATGTTTGGTAGAAAATAATTTTCATATTGGTTTTTGTTTTAATTTATTTTGGATTTAGTGAAAAGTAAATATTTAGTTATTTAAACAGTCAGAAGAGTCGAAATTGGTGAATGAGACGAATATTAACTACGAATAAGAGCTGAATTTTTATTTTCCCGGTACAAGGTTTTAATTGATGAAGAAATTGATGTGCTTTGGCACGAATTTCCGTCATACCTTGCCAGAAAGAAAAGAAAAGTGTAAAAACTTAAAAAAATCAATTTTTCTATATCATGTCGTTCAAAGAAACAGCTTGTATAGTAACTTCACATTGGTCCTATACAGTGCTCGGCAGTTCAAAACAGAATTTGACAGAATTTTTAAAGTTCTGGCAAAAAAATCTAAAACTTCTGCACAGATTCTATTAAAGCACTTCAAAACGTACCAAAAAAGTAAATAAAAATTAGGTGCTCTTACAATTTTTTTTTTCACTTTAGCAATTTTGGGAATTCTAATAAAAACATCAAAAACATTTTCGATAGCACAAACAACTTCTCCATAAGAAACATTTACCAAAAATTATTTCTGTTTTTGTACGTATAGTTAATGTGACCAACTATTTAATAGCTCAAAGAAGTGCAGCTTTTTTTTACTGAAAAAGTGCGAGCCAAAATGCTTCCAACTTAGCCTCGCGATGGTTGGGCAGTCTAAAAGAAAGTGTGGAGATGATTCCATTTCATCTTCCTCTTGGAAGCTGACACAAAAGAATCAGTTGAAATTCCTAGTCTCACCGCATGAATACCAATCGCGCAATAGCCTGTCAGAACCCCCATCACAAGCTCTTGAGAGGTAACGTGTTTTAAAGTGCCCTATAAAAACATTTTCTACAGCAGAGAAACGTCTTCATTTCCTTTTTATGTTGCAAAAGGACCCGGGTTCCCTCATCCTAATAGCAGTTCGTGCTGCGACAATTCTGTCTGCAATATTCGCAGGTGCTGTGTTCAACACATGTATGTTAAGCGTCATTGTAAGTGTGGTTCCTAATGCTCCGCTAATTCATGTTTTACAAGTGTGGCCTTATCTAGTGAGTTCCACCTAACCAGGACTCCTTGAAACAATATCGGCTTAAATCTGGTTTCCCAGCAATACAAGGCAGCTGACACCTTTCCAACCCTTTCCTCAATATTAGGATTCCACGACGGCCGCCGTTGATCGCCCCTAGTTACGTGGCTCAGGTAACCTTGAACCAGATCAAAAAGGGTGTATAGAAATCGTACCTTAACCAAAAGTTCCACATCATCTACATAGGCGATCACCCGACAGCCCACTTCCGCAATCCAGAGCAAGGGAGAGAGAAGACCACCTTGTGGAGTGCTCCTATTGACTCTGCAGACGCTCCCCTACTCCTCTGCGACAGTTCTGTCACCAAGTAAGCTGTAGATAAGCCTTATTAGGTTGGTTGCCATCCCCAGATTATGAATATACTTTACTATTGCCTCTGGAGTGAAATTGTTGAAGGCCCCCTCGATATCGAAGAAGGCCCCTACTGCATAATCTTCATGCGTGAAGGCTTCCTCTGACCAATTTACCAATGTGTGCAGGGTGGTCTTCACCGACCTTTTCATGCAATAACCATATTGAGCTCTTGAAAGACAGTCACGAGGAATCGCGTTTCTTATGTACAGGTCTATCAGTCTGTCTAGCGTTTTTAGCAAAAGCATGTGTAGCAAAAGCGAAGAGACTGGTAGGCCTAAAATCCTCAGGGGAAGCATTAGAGCCTTTTCCGGCCTTCGGGATGAACGCAACACTGACTACTCTCCACGCCTTTGGGATGCACCCGGTCCTCACGCAGTTCGCATAAATAGGATCCAACCAATTGCACGACACCTTTAGAGCCTTTTGCAGCTGCGCAGGTATGATGCCACCGGTCCACGGCGACTTTAATGGTTTGAACGAATTTATCGCCCAGGCCATGTGATGATCGTCCAAAAGATCGGAGAAGGACAGGACCTGGGGGGAGATTCTGTAACCAGTTAGCGACAATTTTCGAATCGCTATCGCACTTTTTGACGCAAAAAGATTTATATAATGCGTCAAAAAGTGCGATAGCGATCCGAAAATTATAACTAGCTGGTTACAGGATCCCCCGCCTGAAGTACAAAATATCGCAAAGAAGTACATTTGACTTTACTTCGAAGTACGAAGTACAAGAGCGAAAAAAGAAGCACTGTACTTCCGAAAGAAGTGCGGTTGGTCACATTACGTATAGTAGTACACAAAACTATTAAGTTTCAAAGTAATACACTTAAAACTGAATTTTTGACAGTTTTTTTTTTGTTACACAGTAAAAGTAGTTTTTCCGTTCAACAGTTTCACCTCAAAAATTCGCTGCACTATCTCTATGTCGTTGTACAGCTCATGCAGGTCATCCTTTCATCATCTGCGGCAGCCAACGTGAATACGCCCGTAAATCGTCTGCAGAATCTTTCAACCGAATATTCCAAGTGTGCTGAATGACCTTTAAAGTTAGCTTTTCGGATGACGAGAGAGGACCTTATTTATCAATTTTCGACTCAGACTTAAGTCATTCTGTATTGGAATTTAAATCTGACGTTATTTTCGATGTTAATGCTGATTACAAAAAAAATAGTTCCCACTCGCTTTGCTGGCAAGTCCGAATATGTTAAAAAAATTGGGGAAAAATTTTTGTGAGGCAAATGTTAAAGTTATTTTTGACATACTTTTATGTGCTGATTACGAATCCGTATGTATAAACTTTTGATAAGCTCCAGTGAAAAAACGAGGTCAAAGTGCAAAAAAATCGGTTTTTTTGCTATATTTCAGAAGCTCTAGCTAAGAAAGAAGAGGTGATATAAGCTTATACTTAAGCTTAAATTAAAGCTAGAACTCTCGACCACCATCCTGCAAATAGCATTTTCGACAGCAAACTTTTCGACGAAGTTCGCTTACCGATTTGATTATCTTTATACTTTTACACTCTATGATCCTAGCATCAAAAATCATGGTACTTTATTGCTTATCAGTATAATCCCATACAAAATACATGGTGGTACAATTGAATCTCCTCTTTGTTGATTAACGGGATAAAGGGTTAAGTATCCAGCGTCTCGTAGCTGTATTAGTTTAGCGGAGCTATCCATAAATGATACGGCGTTCATGCAGATTTTTTCGTGCTGTCGAAAGCGGCTTTAAGATTTACATTTGCCCTTGAATGCTATATTAAGAAGGATTGTCCTTCTTGTGGATTGAGTAGAGCATACTTACTAGGGATGTTAATTTTTCGGCTTTTTCCGATCCCGAGATTTTCGGGATGGCGTTGTCACAATCCAGGGATCCGCGATTGGTCCCAGGATTTAGATATTCATTACTTTTCAACAACTTGAATTGAAAAAATTGCTTCTATATTGTTTGAGAATCTCTCCTACCATGAAATAAGTAATGATAAATGAGTTTGAAACCTACTTTTTTATTTAAAGTGGCGTTTTTATTTTTTCTCTCTTACCGCAGGATTTATTTTGCAGGACTTTGTCCTTTCAAAGATATTATTAATTCCAAACATTATTAAAAAAATTCAATGCAATGTAGAATAAAAATATGGATAACAAATGCAATAGGAAATTTCTTTAGAATTTAAAAAATTAAAATTTTTTGGACTCACAAGGACGAATAGGTAATTTTAAAGCCGACAAAGTTAGAAGAAAGAAGTTCTGCGCAAAAATACTTCCGGCCCCCTTTTCCGGCAACACAGAAAGGAGAATTCTACTTAGTAAGGGTTATAATCCCTAACATATAATTTTTTTCAAAAACAAATATTGCGAAATTTCAAGGATAAAATTTTAAAATGGCATTTTCAATATTTATCAGCCCTTCTGCACCCGAAACTTGAATCTGTTCAAATTGTACAGGATTTCCTAATTACTTTTATACCCAACCTTCTTCTCTAAGCACATTTCTCTGAATTTTTTAAATCATTTTCGAATTACTGACGTCAGAGTGAAAAACTAAAATTTTACTATATTTGGCCCAGGGTTTCGCGAATATATTGACATTTGTGTTTAAAATTTACTATCGCGCGGTGTTATATGTATAATGAACTATAAATTTATAACAAGTAATTTTTAGCAAAAAAAAACCGACTTCAACTCCCATATAAAAAAAAAAATATATATATATATATATCTCATGATCCACTGATCGGATCTCAACCAGATTAGTATGGGACCACCTCTGAGACACTACCTTTCCGATGCAAAGAATTATCGAATTATCGGTTGACGTGGTCCAAAGTTATGCGGTAACATACATAAAAAAAAAAAAATAAAAATATATATATTCCGACGAACTGATAACCTCCTCCCTTTTTGGAAGTCGGTTAAAAAAGTATTAATTATTAAAAAGGAAAAAGAAATATAGCCAATACTGGTCAAGAAAAAGAGTTTCTATTATTTCCATAAATTCACCATCCAAGAATCCCGGGATTTTCGAGACCTTAAAAAGTCTGGGATCCAAACACTCCTAATACTTACATTTTTCGTCCTCGGGCATTCATCCTACCATGTTCTAAACCAATAAAAAACAGTGAAAAATCAATTAATAATACAGTTCAATTTTTTATTTCTACCGCAACAAAACTCTCCACCTCCATGATTTTGAGCCATAAAGACTATCTACGAAATGTACGTTGTTCTTCATACTGAAACGTCTGAGTTGGTTAAAATTTGGCACAAATATTGACCATGCCCTGAGATATAATATGTATCCCACAATGCCCAGGGAAGCTAAATACCGAGATTGGCTTGATGAAGATAACCATCAGAATACGAGCTCGTTTGGTAGCATAACTTTAAACCGTATATCATGCGGGCAGGCCTACGGAAAGCTAATAATTTTTAACGGACCTCACAAATGGAGGAGGTTATCAATTCGCCGGAATATTTTTTTGGACCACGTTACCAGATTTTTATAATTAAACTAGTAAGCCCGGGCAGACGTTGTCCTGCTAAATACCGATACATAGGCAGGTTACATGCATCGTAGATATTATTTGACTTCACACTGAAGATTGATACTCGATAACTCGGTGTTCGGTAATTTTTTCTCATTTACACAAACAAAATGCATTCGAAAAAATTACTGGACACCGAGTTACCGAATACCGAGCTCGGTGTGAAGACCCATATTGTTTCTTACGTTTCATTTGATATCGAAATTTACAAAAGCGGTTTCGGAGATTGGCGTAAACGAACACAGTGACACGGGATTTTTATATATTAAGATAATTTTTGAAAAGAAAGACTGTACCTCAGAGGTGGTCCCATACTAATTTGGTTCAGATCCGATGTTTGGATCATGAACAAATTAACGGTAGTCTTAAATTTTTTGTATGAGAATTGAAGTCGGTTTTGTTTTTCGCTTAAAAATTACTTGCTATATTTACATATATCTGTAAATTAAATTTCCAATTGTATGTATGTGTTGTGCTGATCGTGCGACAGCTAAAGAAATTACATATCGGCTAAAAAAGAAAAATTGGAAAAATTTACGAATCGTGAGATCTAATCTTAACCTAAGACAAATGAAAATGATTTTTTTTTTTTAATTTTCCAACGAATTATAATTGTTTCTAATAGTAACATTGCAGTTCATAAAATGCAGTGCACGCTGAAATGATTTTTTCCTTTATTTTCCTTTGCAACAGAAACTATTTTCCCACCCGTTTTCGGTCGGCGTTTGCAAGCACAAGTTGTAAAACGAGGCGAAAAGATTATAATGGAAGTTGAGGTAACCGGTTTGCCAGAACCAACAGTTGTATGGATGAAGGACGATAAACCAATACAAGAAGCGGGTGTATCACAGCACCGTCTGCTTTCACAAGGCAACTCCTACAAGCTGATCATTGAGAAGGGTGAGTGGCTAGCGGAATTTGAAGACGAACTTACTTAATTAAAATATTTTTTTTTAAATAAACGAATAATTAAATGTGTCTATTGTTTACAGCTGATTTGAATGTGCATTTATCCCTTAGATATGTCAGTGACATTTGAAAGCCTCGTTATTTTCCGGTCACTATACAATCCTTGAAATAATACTAAACTTTGCTCTTATAACGATTTCAGGAGAATCCAGTGACTCAGGCAAATATATGGTAAAGGCCACCAACGCCGGTGGTGAAGCGAAGAGCATTGCCGATTGTGCGATACTCGAACCAACACCAGAACGATTGCAGGAAGTTGTCAAGACTATCGTTTATGAAACGCCAACTAATTTAAAAACTGAAGTAAGTCTGCATGTTCACTCTTTCACAAAGACTTAATATGTAATAAAAAGTGACAACGAATTTCACTATCGAATTTCATTTAAAAATTTCTTATTTATTTTTTTACTTATTATTTAATATTAACTTTAATAACTCTAAACATGTCACCTTTTGCATTTGTATAAGTATAAATATTTACCAATAAAACCAATAACTGAATTTATAAACAATATCAATTGATACTTACTATTACATACATTTAACATAATATTTAAATTAAAATTATTTGTAAACTTTTTCTCTCATTGTTTTTTCGCCAACGTTACCAATAAAATTGAATTGAATTGTTCGATTTTCGACTCGCATTTTCGCTTTAAAAAAAATGTCTGTCCATATCCAACTGCTTCTCTCATTGCTTTGTGGGGTGTTTATTTGAAAAAAAAAAAAAACACGCAAACCATCAACATTCGAATTCTTGCATCAAACCATTTTACATGCATCCATTACACTCCAAAATCCGTATTCAACTACCATCATCCCAACTATCAACCAAACATCCACCGCTGATCTATACCAATCTTTAGACCTTTGCAAAAGAGCCACCGTCCTTCCAAACGACACAAACCGATATTTCAACCTCATCCGATTTGCATGGCTTATCTGAGTCGAAAATAATAACTGAGCATCGTTGCACCACCGAGGCAACAATGCGTCTAGAACACAAGCAAGCTTACTTAGATCTGCCCGAATTGAGCGAACGTCCGAAGACGCCAATAACTGCCACCAGCATCAGCACGAACACGGATCTGCCCGATTGGCAACACCTGAAATCGGTATCGACCAACACAGACATCGCACGCTCTAAAACTGGCGCCACGCAAACACCGCCGCAAGTTCCACCCAAACCTTATTCAGCCTCTAACACCACTGCCCAACCACCACCTCTACAATCCACACAACCACCCCAACAGCCACATTTCCAACCCACGCTAAGCACAGAACTCGACGGTATCAGAGGCGACGCTGCGACTTTGGCGTCTTCCACAACGACCTCAACATCGAAATACGAAAGCTCAACAAGCGAGAAAAAGTCCTCATCTTTCGAGTTCTTCAAGAAAATTGAAAGTCAGGGTGGCACTTTGCCCACGCCACCTGGAGAAAAACAACAGCGTCAAGAGGTATATGCAACGAACAAGCGAACCACACCGTTTGTAATCTCGCAGCCAACCGGACCGCCACAGGCAGCCTCACTAGCACACACGCTCGAGGAAGATCTCAAAAATTTAAATCTTGTACCCGGCTCACCACCAGAAATTTGCTATGTACCCAAGTTAGACGCAGCTGGCGCCAAGCCTCAAGTGTTCAGTGAGCGCATTAAAATATTGGAAGCTTCACAACAATCTCCCAAAGAAGCTCCGCCAGGTGGAATACGTACTTTACCGCTTGCACCCGTTAGCCAAACATTCAAACATGAAACCACCGTATCGAAGGAGGTAAAAGTTGAATATGGACAACCGATTATGCGTCCAGCAGCTACACTGCCAGCACCACAGCAATTTAAGCGTTCGCCCTCACCTAAACCCTCAGCGGAGGGTGTGGCAATGTCAAAGCTTTGGACACCAAATCATTTGAGCGGTTACGAGAGTTGTACAAGCGACATAGAACAATCCTATAAAGTAGAATCGGAGACACAAGCAAAGGCAGAAAAGCATGAAATTCAACTACAAAAGGTACCAACGCCGGCTCCGGACCTAAGCGCCCCGTTCCTCGTGAAGGAGGTGAGCAAATCCATTACGATACCGCCATCAACGCAACGTGAAAAAACGCCTCTAGACGATATTCATTTGGAGCCCGGTACGCCGCCAGAGATTTGTTTTGCACCAAAACCGGAGGTGCGTCGCCACTCTGTGGTCGAGCAAATGGAAAGAACTTTAGAAAAGAATCTCCAGCAAGGCCCAACCAAGGTGCTACCAATGTCAGTGCCCACTCTCACACCTGGCCCGTCACCTCAAGCACCTAGAACACTTTCGACTGCCTACAAACCACCGCCGCCAGTTATACCCACGAAATTGACCGTTGGGCAATCTTATGAGAGTGATTATGAGAGCGATCGTTGGAAGTATAGTGGCAGCGAATCGGATGAGGCATCATTCCGACCGGTTGGTAAAAGCGTTACGGATGGTTCGGCTGTTTCGGTACCGATCGCGCCTACAACTCATCACTCATTCAAGACAAGTGGCTATGCTGCAGATACCGAGGAGATTTCTAGTTTTCGCAAAATGGAATCTACACAACAGGAAAGTCGTTCATTTTATGAGTCTACCTCCAGTTCAAAAGCTACTCAACACCAAGTGACGCATACGCCGCCAGCGCCAATGCCTTCAGCGCCATTCAAGACACCACCACAGCAGCAATATGTACCACAACCGGCAACAAAGCCAGCACCAGCGCAACCAGTCTATCATTCACCGCAATTGGAGAAGCAAGCACCGGCACAGCTCTACTACACAAGCAAGCAAGAAGGTGGTCACGAGAAACAGGAGTACTCGGACAAAAATGAGTACAGGCGAGAGGAGAAGGTTCGCTTGTTGTTGTTGTTATTGATGTTGTTCTGTTGCTACCACAAAGTTTGTTTCTAACGTACAACTTTTTAATTTTTTTTAACATACATAGATTTTTTGTACAATATTTGTTTAAATAAGATAAGTATTTGTATATTTTATAATTTGTATAGAGGAGTTCAGCATAGTATGCTTAAGCCAGCAAAAGCAGTAGTTAAAGTTCTATGTATTTCAGCATTTAAGCTCTGTATAATGAGGCCTCCTCACTCGTATCACTGTCCAGCTTTTGGGAGATCGCAAATCAGCTCCTTGGCTCTGCGTTCTTCTCCTCACTGAAGAAAATAGCAGACAAGGAACCGGTTCAGTGCATAATGACTAAGATTTAAGCCTTGACATCTTTCTTGGTAATACTAAAGATCAACTAATAGTCTATGTGAGATCGCACCAAGCTAACCCAACAAGGGGCTACAACCTACGTTCAATTCCAATGCTCAAACATACATAGGTAGTCTATTTCCATTGCAAAAACTGAGGGTAACCATCCCTGAAAACTGGATAGGTGACAGCTGTACGCAGCTAAGCTTACGAATTAACTTCGTAGCCAAAATACGAGAACATCTTTTTTTCGATATTTGTCGAGATAGGTATCTAACCTAGGTATACTTAATTGGTTCAGTTTCAAGCGGACGCTCAAAAGAGACGCAGTTCATGAAATAATCAGCGAAATCGGTGTCTTGAGCACCTCTGGGCCAACAGCTAATCAAAAGTGGCCAAAAATTCTCAAAATTGGACTAGACTGTACAATAGTAAAAACAGATTGGCGCTTACATAAAGAGTTAGTGTTTGACCGAGCTTCTCCTCCGATTTGTGGTGCGCGCTATGATGTTGTCACACAAAGAGAAAGGGCCTTTAGTTTTACACCGACTACGAACGGTGATTGTATTTTTATGAGAAGCTGTTATTCATGGCTGAATACACTCGAAGGTTCTCCATTGCCTGCCGAGGGGTGAATCTGACTTCAGATTCGTAATCAGCGAGCGCCTAAATATCCCTTGTACGCAGTCTCATTAAAATCGATCAATGATTTCATATTTTCGAAACTTTTGATGAGCTACTGGCCATTAGCGAAGTGTGCCGGTACTCACATGAGTTCATGATCCTTCCATTTGGCAATGAAGTTCAGCCTCTACTTTCAATCTCAGACTATTCGTGGTGATGCCCGAGTGGCTTCTGAGGTTTTTAGATCAGTTTGGCTACCCTCCAGCAGACCCTGCTTAGAATTCCACTCCATCCTTCGACAATTATACAGTCCGCTACCCTGGAAAGACGTTTGATTGGAAGATAGTTATCATTACACTTACCTGAAGCAATAAAGCATATGAATTTGGCCTTCATTTGCCACCCAACTTCATTCTCATTTTCAGCCTTGAAGCCATCGGTATATAAAGTTTTTACCGAGTTCCCCAAGGGATTGATTGAATCACTTTATAGCCCCTTGTAGGAAAGCCACTTCCTTCCAATACAGACTCCAGGTCTGGGTATTTCTCTGTCAATCCTCTAAGCAACTTGTATGCCGAGCTCCTATAATCTTTTTTAAATCCATCCTGATGTATATATTCGGAACATCCCCAGGGATTGCTAAATCCAATAAAGCTTTTGGAACCATTCTTAGGGTCTTACTCATGGCGCCCGTAATGCCTCATTTGTAGTTTGTTCAACATAGAGCCTGTGCTACTGACTATGGTTCTACGCCACCATACTGAAACAGAATAAGTAACGATCGATCTAACTAATGCTTTGTATACCCAAAGTACCATGCCTTACATTCTAAAATCTCTGTCCGAAAGCTTTCAGTACTCGATTTACCTTCAGCTCGACATATTCCATGTCATCTTCATATGTTAACTCTAGATATATCACTTTAAGTAAGTGAAAGACATCTAAACAGCGTTGTGTCCTTCCAATTTTCCCTGCCGCGTAAGCAAAATTAATGTTGTCTTCATTCAATCTAACTCAGGATGCTCCGTATCTTCACAAATATCTTCCGTAGAGATTTCCATGAAGCCAGTACACAAACATCATCGGTTCAAGTTTCGATGTGATTGCAGTATTGCGTCGTCCCCATACCTATACCATGTTACGAGGGCCTTTTTTGTCCCCCATATTTAGTCACCAAACTTCTGGATAACATGGAGTGTATCGACCTTAGGATTGTTTCGGGCACTCCAAGTTCCTGGCCGCAGAGCACATATTTAGTTAAAGTAAAAAGTAGCGATGTGAATATATCATCAAAGAACCCCGATCTGCATCGTCCTGCTTCCCGCCCCACTTCGAACTTTGTAACAAGGCGGTGTAGAACTGAATAAGAGGAATTTCCGCACTAGTATGAACAACCTCAATGTCTATCAAATCCTTTGATCTCAAGTACTTTTCCTAAGTGCGATCCAAGGGCACTTAGCTTAAATGATGTCCGTCTGATTGGTCTGAGACTTTTTGCTAGCACATCCTTTTGTTAAATATATGTATATCGATGGCCACGAGGTGCTTTTCTCAACTGGTCGATAATCTCAATTTATTCTTACATTTATACTAACTCAGACGTGCCTATTTATTTTGTCTTATGTTAAGCTTTTAAGTTACGGGGCTAACTAAGTCCCTGTAAATAGACAAGTCTAAGTTAGAACAGTTTGCTTGAGAGCGCTAGTTAAGACGCAACAATCGTACTTGTTTGATTTAGTACAAAATTATAATAATTCATCGAGGTAAGATAGTTCAGCACACGGCATTCAAGATAAATTGATGACTATTGACCAATTAGGACAAAGTAGCTCGGGCCATCGATATGCACCTATGTAAGTAGTAAATAAAAATTTAAACAGGAGTTTTGCTGCTATTTATTCCTGTGTTTAGTTATGTAGTAGGTTTTTTTATAGCGTTCTGTGTTGGCTCAAAATACCCACTAATGTAGCAATTAAATCATAGAAAAAATCATTGTAAAAAACATAACATGCACGCAAAGCAATAAATCGCCACAAATATCATATTTAAATCATATGAGTTAGAACAATGAAAGCATCATAATCACTTATAGCAAAAAAGGATATTTATGCATAATGTATTTATACTACTTAGTATCATATAAGTATATATTATATATTATGAATTTCACGTGCACCTACAAAATTTTATATGCGTACATAATATATATACAGTGGGTGTCAAAAATAATTATACCCTTACGTTGTAACGATTTTGTTTCTTTATATTTTCCATACGAAGTTTTTGTAATTTTTTATAATAATATAAGTATTTCATTCAGCAGCAAAAACCACAATAATCATTTGATTGATTTGATTTTCGGGGATTTCTTTTTTTCTCTGAGGGTGTTGCATACCTTCTTTCGCTTAAAGAAAATATTATGTTCAACACCCCTGGAAAAAAAATCAACGGCAATATATGTAAACACGTAAATAAAATCGTAAAAAACCCAGCATATACTTATTTTTGACGCTTATTGTTTATGCTTGGCAATACTATTTTTTGCGCAACAATCGCCATAAATATAGCAAAACAATGTTATGTATTGTAAATAAAGAATTACGTTTGCATGGTTGGGAATGTGTGCCATAAAAGTCATGCACGTTATGCTATGTTATCTTAGTTCGCGAAATGTTTTCATATGTAGAAACAGTCGAATTATATTTCTAAGGAGTGTTACAACAACCTATTTTTACAACGCTTTTATCAACTTGCAATGTTGTGTTCCAGAAACTTTCAATGTTGTGTGTCCGACACCATAAAGCAAAGCTTTGAAAAGCTCCTATAAAAAAGCATAGTGAATAGGGCGAGGTAGATGACATCTAGATGTCGCCCTATGTACTACGTTTGCTACACCGGAAATAGACGACACGCCATTTCTTTAAATAAAATTAATTGGTGCTCGTTTGTATGTACATACATATGTAAATGCATGTGTGTGCACCTTTCTATTAATATCGTTGAATTATTTTAATATCTATTGCAAACTTTTATTCAGACAGGACTAAAAAGTAGAAAATAAATAATATAAAAAAAACTTTTTAATATACAACGCTTTTATAAATGGACTAAAAAGTAGAAAATAATATTTCTCAGTCCCATAGAATTTGTTTTGATAACTTTTGATTTTGAAATTTTAGCAAAAGTCATTATAAACAATCTATGAAATTGAAAATGAAAAGCGTGGGGCGCATGTAATACACTTGAATTGATATGAAAAGTAATATATGTATGTATGTATGTGGGTATATGAATAACGACCGCTTAAAATCGATTTCAAAGTTCTACTTTCGCTGTAGAAATTTTAGGTCTACGTTATGTAGTTTGACTATTGTCAATTAAATCGAATGCTTTGTATTGCATGCGCTCCACGTTTTTCATTTTCAATTTCATAGATTGTTTATAATGACTTTTGCTAAAATTTCAAAATCAAAAGTTATCAAAACAAATTCTATGGGACTGAGAAATATTATTTTCTACTTTTTAGTCCATTTATAAAAGCGTTGTATATTAAAAAGTTTTTTTTATATTATTTATTTTTTCATTTTAAATCGCATAACAGTATTGATATTTTATTTTCGTATAACTTAAAGAAAGGTGCTTGTTAGATGTTGTAGACCTAATCTAATTGGACAGCGACTTAACTTATTTTTATACCAGGGCGCATTTATGTACAATCGTAAGTAGGAACACGATATCGAACCGCAAGTATCGTTATTGTTCTAATTTGAAAATATCGGGTACCGGTAAATATCGTAATAAAAATACCCAATATCCCAAACATTGTTCAACGAATTAAATGTGAACATTGGTTTCGTTTTCTAATCAGAATGAACTCTCTGCACTTTGATAAGTGCGTGAACATTAGGGTGGTCAAAAAAAAACTAAAATCTGACCTAGAACTGTTCCACACCAAAAAAGTAATACCCGTCTTTTTTTATTTTGAAATCAAAAATATTTAGAGGTTTAAATTTTCCATGTACATATTTTGTATGGAAAAAAATAATTTTTCGAAGAAATGGTATAGAATTCTTGAAAATCAATATTTTTCGATCGGAAAAATTTGATTCGCTCCAGGAGCCTTTCAGTAATTATAGTACCTAATTGTTTAATTAATCATTTTTTAATATTAACTATTTACTATAGGACCCCAAAAAATACAGCGGGGGACCTATAAAAAATCGCTGGTATCATAAAATGTTAAAATAAACAGTTGGTTATTATTGGAGGTCTCATGAAAAGAAACCGATTTTTCTGATTTGATCTCTGATATTGATTTTCAAGAATTCTATACCATTTCTACGAAAAATTGTTTTTTCCCCATATAAATTACCGTGCAACGAAAACCAAAAAAATTTCAAAACACATGAAGCAGTCAGTATACTCTCGAAACTATGGGCTAGGTATAGTAAAACTTCGTTTTTCGTTTTTCGCTCTGGCGGCAGGTTTTATATAAAAACAACTTTACAATTTTAAAGATATCGTTAATTCAAAAACTTATTTAAAACAAATAAGCGAAAGGTAAAATAACAATAAGGATACCGAATATAAGAAAAAAGTTTTTGGAATTTAAAAACATTAAAGTTTTTGGTTTACAAGGACGAATTTTTTTCGTTTCTTTTTTTTTAATAAATATTGCAAATTTTCAAAGATATTCAGGACAAAATTTTAGAAACACATTTTCCATACCCATTCGTCCTTATGCGCCAAAAATATATTATATTTTTTAATTCTACAGAATTTTCTTTTTTATTTCACACCTACATTGTTATTCTACATGGCATTGAATTTTCTTCCACTGAATAACTCTCCAAATAGACTTTTATTGACTTTTAAATATGGCACCTAGGTTTACTCGGAATGAAACTTTTTTTCGAAGTAATGACTAAAAGGGTCTATTTTTTTTTTTGAAATTTTCGCAAAAATTGTAAAAGTTGAAAAAATTTTCCACATATTTACAATGTGCTCACAAAATTTATTATTTTTTTAAATATTGCAAATATTCTTCTTTCCAAAGCTATATAAAAACTTATAATTGTGTAAAAAGTAGCCAAGATAGAAATTGTTTACTGCGGGAAGTCATGTAAAAATTGTGTTTTAAGAATAAGCCGAGGAATTGAGAGTGTTACAAAAATTTTAAACGCAGTTTTGTGAATAACTCGACCAACCCTACGACCTGTACTAGGACACTTCAAAACATTACATCGCTAAAACTACAGCTTTTTGTTGTCATTCCGACTGCCTTGGGAATGAGAATATACCATCCACTGAACCAGACCGTCTATGCAAAGAAACAAAAGAGCTGTTCAGGATCTTGTGCATATGATCCTGCATTTGCATATTTCGGTGCATTTGTAAATACACAACAATAAAATGCGCACACGGTTGCCATGGTAGCAAGCATAAAATTTGCAAATGAAATTCCAACCGCATATCCAAGACCATTTCCACAATATCCCGAAGGCTATTAATCGAGAATCGATCAAAACCTTCATCAACTTTCACCCCTTGATTTCCATCATCACAGACCAACGCCACCTACCGTAGACGAAAAGTTCAAGTTGTTACGTGAGGCTCGCGATACTGTGACACAACTCCATTCTGGATATTGCAGCAGGTTAAATTGTTCACTTCAATTTGAATAAAATACCCCGACGATACAAACCATCCCTTCGAATCTCCTCTCTCTCTAATATCCCTCTCCCTACAGCCCCAACCTACCGGATCTCTACTTTTCCTGAGCCTGCCGTTAGATGAGAATGAAGGCAACACGTATTCGATTCGCTGATTTAGACAACATAGTTTAAAAAGCTGCTATAACAAGAAAAAAAAACTTGAAAGTTTTGCGTTCGATTTTCCTTTTACTTTTTGATGAATTTTCTGCAGTGGGAAATTTCGATATAAAATTAATAAAAATATTCTAGTTCCATTTGCAATAAAATAAAATATTAGCATTTTTAGATTCTGGTATATAAATTAAATAGGTGAAAACCGGTTTATTCGAATATAAAAATCAGGTTTATTAAAAAAAAATCGTACAAACCCAGTTTGGAAAAATTGAGTAAATTACCCTAGTATATCCCTTGAATGAACAACGTTGAGGCTGCGAGCTTTACAGGCTTCGTACGACTCAGTTACCAGCAAAGCTCTCTTGAGCTGAAAATCAAGAAAAGGTAGCTTTGTTAAGTTCGTAGTGTGTCCAGTACTATTTTGCAACTGTCTACTAGTATTCATACTCTTTTACATGAGTCCAAAGCTCTTATTTTTACCTGGCTGTCCGATGTGATGTTTATAGTGGGCCCATCAGTCCTTCCAAGAAGCTTCTACGAATACATTCACGGGCACAGTTTGCAATTGCGAAATTTACCACCTGTAATATGGTTAAGCATGTACCCACTGGAACACTTTTCTGAAATCCAGATCCAGAAGCGTGCTTCTCAATAACCCCACGATAAAGTTTGAAACCATTAGTTTACCAAACTTGGGATATTTCGCTAATCCTTGCTATTACCGCTTTACGAGTGAATTTATAACTTAGAAGAGGTTAACACAGGATAACGTGATTTTAAGACACTGAGATGGGCCCTGACGTCTACACCTGTCATGCTGCTGGTTCGGCAGTCTAAGAATACTCGAAAAAGCTTATTTTCCAATAAGTAGGGTAGGAGGTGGAATGCCTATTGGACATGTCCGCATAGCTCTTGTAATAACACATACCAAGCAGTGGATTTTACCGTGATGCGCCGGAACTTACTTTTTTTGACTTTAGGGCACCATATAGTTTATTTAGCAAGTCTGACAAATACATATTCTTCTGCCATAGATGAGGTCTACAACCACGTTTATCGCCTTAGATCTATTAGTTTGTTAAGAATGTTTTTTCACTTGAACAGGAGTATAGATTTATATTAGCATAACATTTGAACTTCCAAAAAAAACAATGTATTTATAAGATTTATAATATATATAATAAGTACTTATTTTCTCACACTTTATTTCTTTTGCAATAATTCTTACGCCCAGCCTGTTTGGTGTTTGTTGTTATTCGCTGTATGAAGAGCTCTAACCCCACATGCATGCATTTCAGTTAATATTTTACCAATGTTCTCTTAAATCATTTGGCAGGATTATAAGAGCATGTCCAGCATAAGCAGCAGCTATTATAAGGCCTCCAACATAAGCAATGTCAGCAATATTGGTGCACCAAAATATCAACCAGCACCTGCGAAGATGCCAACACCAACTCCAATTCACACAGCAGCGCCCATCCCAGCTCAGCGCAAAACTCCAGCAGAGTTCAGTGACTACAGCAGTGAGGTAGAGGAGCGTTTCCGTTCTGTCTCACGCACCCAAGAATCTGACGCCGACATCAAAGGTTACCGTGTGGTATTTCCACCAACGCCCACACCAAAGTCTAACCTGACAAATGGGCATAAATCCCCCATAGTTGTGGTGACACCATCACCAATGGAGTTCGAGCCAGCACCACCTGCGGTGAGCACCTATCCACGTCAGAAGTTTGAACCAATCAAAAAGGAAATACGTCATGAAATCAAGACCGAGTCCCAGGAACAAAAACAACACTTCCAACAACAAAAAACACAAAAACAGCAATATCAGCAACAAACGGTGTACAAACCAAAACCAGTAGCCGCCAAGTTCATTGCCGCTACGCAGCAGCAACAAGAGCAACAGCAACAGCAAGCGACGCGTACGCAACCAGCGCTCTATTACAATGCCATAGCCGGCACACCGTTGCATATGGCCAAAATGGCCACTGAGACGAAAAATGTCATGCATATGAAAGAATCATCTGAAACTTGCCAGCGTGTGGTGAACATGCAGCAGACGAAGCGCGTCATACACTTTGACAGTCAGAAGGAACAGCAGGAGCGTCAAGAGAGCACACCACTCGAGCCGTTCCCTTACAGCCCAACGCCCAGCCGTTTCACACCGACACGCCAGACACGTGCGCCGCCGCCACCTACGCCGACCAAGTTCGTGCCAGGCGAGTTCCGCGAAAGCGATTACGACAGTGAAATAGAAAATGCAAAAATACGTCCACTCTGGACACCACAAGGCGAATACGGTCCGCTACGTTTCAGACATGTCGAGCCGCCACATACTGGACGTGCTTGTAGCGTGCCACGCGCATACGAACGTGTGCTCTCGCCTATGGAATTCGATCGTGGTCCAGAAATGCCTCAGAAGATAAAGATCGATCCGAATGAATTGCGTACACAGCGTGGCAGCAGTCTCAGCACTGGCGCTACCAGTAATCAGCGAACACAATCCTTGAATCGCCACGCATCTATGCAGAGCAGCAGCAGCAGCAGCTATCAGCAGCGATTTCAAACATTGCAACGCGATCACACTGTAGCCGAAACACGATTTCCGCGTGACGATATGAACTTGAAGGTGGGCTCGCCGCCCAAATACGGTTATATACAATCGCATATCGATCAGCAGGGCAAGCAGATGAGCTCTACTTTCTTGCAAAAATCGCAGCAGTTCATCAAGGATATCAGCAGTGATCTGCACAGGAAGACTAGCAAGACAACTAAGTTGTATAATGGCGATGCCGAACCGAAGGTGGTTACGCACTCTTTCCGGCCTGGTTTCAAGCGGGCACCCAGCGAGGGTGACAACAAACCCCAAGCCTATCGCGATGAGTCGCGCATCTCGCAATACGGTAAGTACTCAGAAAATGTCTCACATCGGAATTCATATGCGGTGCATACAAGTTGTGCATAAATTCCAAAAATTTATAAATCTTCTTAGGTAGGGCTCACTGGTCGCCATTAGACGTCATTTATTTTGCAGTTCACTTTTAATTTAAGCTGCATATTTCAAGCATTTTTTCTCCCTACTAACTTCATATGTTTACACATAAGGAATGCTTTGTTCTGTTTATTTTTACAATATATTCACTTATGCATAAGTTAAATTTATTATGTTTATTTCCACTACAAATGTTGTCTCTTGTCTATCCTTCGCCAACCGACCCATCCAAATCAAAATTTTCAATACGTCCACGGCAGGTACGAAATGCGTCGATCCCAACACCGGTCTAATTTACTTCAAATACGATTTTGGCTATGAGTTCGGTATACTCTTTCCGGGCGAGGGCCACAAGTTTGTAAGCAGTCAATGGAATAGCTCGTCATCGGCACTGCCACCGCGTCCCTCATCTGTCACACCCACGCATCAGATACAAGCTGGCGCAGGTCGAAAATCACCGTATCCTTTAAATTTTGCCAGTGGCGGTGATCTCGTCATACCAGTACAACATGAACGTACCACCACGCCTACACCGACTCATCTTAGCGCGCCGTATGCGCGGCCACCATCACAGAGTGGCTATCATTCTGATACCACCACAGTCAGTCGTCGTCGTAGTCCAGCGCCAGGAGCGCGCGCCAGTACAAGTGGTGTGCATAGACTTCAGAAACGTTATAGTCTGCCAAATACACAGGTTATCGATATAAATATCGATCATCTTCATGCCAACGATCAATTGACACGTCTACCACTTATACGTTCAGGTATTATGCTCAGGCGAGATCATGGCCGCTAACTTTAGATCACCTTATCGTCTGTTGCTAAATAATTTATGTTGTAATAACAATTTTTTGTGGCATCATTTGAAGCGTCTTTAGCATTGTTTTGATTTGGAATGCAGCAATTTTTGCAAAGCATACACATTCCAATCAACTGCACTGATTACAGAAAGTAACAAAGCTTCACTTTTAGCAAGCTTTCACTTGCGAACAGCTTTCACTGTGCACATCCATTTACTTGTACAGTTAAAAAAAAACATGCATATTCGAAAGTCGTATTTAAAAAAAAAACTGCATTTTCTTGCTGTGAAATCTGTGCAATAACGCTGTCATTGATTTTCACTTTAAATACATCATCTTAATATTCATTCAGAACCTAATGCTTCACAAACAGTCGGATGGTTACTCACCTTTCAGCTGGACTTTACTGCTCCGAAATGCTTACGGTGCTTCTATGCTATAAGAATGATATGGCTCCTCTTTAGGAGCCTTGGTTCAATTGAAAGTGAACGCATTTTTCCCAAAAGGGGTTTTACGTTGTATATAGTACGTATATACTCATATTAGTCTGCAAGGTATTTAGTAATCTAAAACAAATAAAAATAATCGAGTAGTGAAGATGCATTTTTGAATAATAAACCAATCCCAATCTTTACAAACCAAATCCCCAAATCTCCGAATGCCACAAACGCTTTCCATATTCACAATCGATGTTGTAACAAATTGATGTCGTATAGAATAGCCACGTGAATTAATAGAAGATAATGATATACTTCTTGGAGATCATTGTTAGTAGTATTATTACCTAAGTTTAAGTTTTGCATTCTAAATTAGAGCATGCTATTTGTGTATATATATACGAGTATTTTGGCTTGTTAAATACGTTGTAAATTTTAGATATGTGAACGGTTTTTAGTACTAAAAATAGGGCACTTGAACCCCACACACCACCACAACCACAGGAATATTGATCAGATGATTGATTCGAAAAAATATATATTTTTTTTCTATGACATTAATGACTATGATATCTGCCAGTACGCTCCTGCCATTTATTACGTTATATCTTACAATTATTGGGCATATTTTCCAATACACAACTAAATGAGATCTCATTTGGTTAATCCTTTGGTTTAATTGGATTGTTTTAACTAATATTTTCTGCGTAACATTGGGTTAAGAAAAACTGGACACAACTTTATACCAGACAAGACCGAAATTACAACTCTCGAGAAAAAAACGCAAGGTAACTTCTTTACAGCCCTTGAACCTTACAATCATCTGAGGTAAAAAAAAAACAGGAATTTTTCTACGGTTACAAGCAACTAAGTAAAATCAAACTGAAATTGTTATTACGGTAACCAAAATTTCGACTTGGAATTGAACAGACTTATGGGCCGAAAAATACAAAAAAAAAATATTCCCAGCACTCAGGCTCACAATAAATTGGGCATTGTTGTTAGCTCCTGGTGGATGGATTGGAAGGATAAGGCAGAAAAGGTGGATGTAGTAAATCTTTACTCCTCTGAAAAACTCGAAGGGAAGAATATGTAGCTGGTCAAGATAAAAGCCCGGTTCTTGAAGAAAAAAATGCGCATGTTCAAGTGAAGCTTGGCTGTATTTTAAATAGAGAATTCTTTACTTTAACTAAATTAAAGTTAAATGACAGTTTATCTATGTAACAGTGATTGCTTACCTCCGTCAATAAATGATCTGAAAACTATCCTCTAGACGATTGTTATGGAAAACAATCAAGGTGGGTTCTTCTTCTTCTTCTTTTTTGGCGCTGTAACCGCCTAAGCGATTTTGGGTTAAGAACAGCAATATTTGAAAAAAAAATCATAAAACTTAAATTTCTTCCGGGCATTTATTTAGTTTTAGGTAATTTTTAAGGATTATTAAAGTTTTTAGGTCATCGAAATGATAACATAATTTCAGTCAGTCCAGAAAGTACTCACATGACTCAGTGTTCTGAAATTCTTTTTGGTATTTTCTAAGCACCTTTAACAAAAACTAAGCCACGAAATGCAATCTTTTTTTTTGCTCCCCTATATCAAATTATTCTAAATATAGTAAAACTATATTTTTAGTTTTACTCTCTGACGTCAGAAGCCTTTTTTAAACGACTTCGAAATGTCAAAGATATTATTAATAATAATAATAATAATAATAGATTGGCGCTTACACATATGTTAGTGTTTGACCGAGCTTCTCCTCCGACTTGTGGCGTGCGCCTTGATGTTGTCACACAAAGCGGAGGGACCTACAGTTTTACGCCGACTCCGAACGGCGATTGTATTTTTATGAGAAGCTGTTTTTTCATGGCAGAAATACACTCGGAGGTTTGCCATTGCCTGCCGAGGGACGACCGCTGTTTAGAAAAAACCGTTTTCTATATTTTTTGGGATGTTGCTTTGACCAGGGCTTGAACCCAGGTGCGGATGTGTGAAAGCGCGCACTGCTTACCACTACACCACAGCGGCCGATATTATTAGTTTAATAAATTTTTTATAAAATTTAGCGCAATTTAAAATAAAAATATGGGTATGAAATAAAAGAAAGAATTCTGTATAATTGAAAAGGATTATTTCTTTTGTGCGAAAGGATGACAACTATTTAAAATATCCTATCAAAAGCTCATCCTTGAAAATTTATGATATTTATTTTTGGAAAAAATACATGGTAAAGATTGGTAAACACATGACCACATCCTCCGATTTATTTTATTTATTAAATAAAATTAATTGAAGGGATATTTCCAATACCTAGTTGTCCTTGTGATCCAAAAAAATTTAGTATATTTTTTAGTATATTTTTTGCATTCTATAGAATTGGCTCTTTCATTTGGCACCCATATCTACATACTGTGATTGTACATTAAACTGATTTTTTCAATAGTTTCAAAATTAACCATATTTTTGAAATTTGAAATCCTTAAAAATTTAAAAGCAGTTTTATTATGTATAAGACCTAGTTTCGGAACATACTGATTTTTTATAGTGAAATTTTTTTTGCTTTTTTTCGCACGGTGTAATATGGATACTCTATAGAGTAAAAAAATCATATTTTTTCAATATTTGTGCTATGCACGAGTATATTTCTTTTGATATGAATTTGACGCGATTATGGCCGCTTTACAAATGTTTTGCCATTGCTTGACGCTCTGCCTGCATGTAACTATTTATATATGTATGTTATGTTAAGTTATGTTTCGTTTTGTTTGTTGTTTTGAATTTCCATATTTTTCAAAGTGCTTTGAGTTTGAGAACGCGCCTACCACTTAATGATTGCCTTTTAATTGCGCTAAGTGAATCAATAATATGAAAAATCAAATGCAATTTTTAATAGCTTTTTTCCTCAAATAATAAATATCTACAAGAAATTGCTTTACTTTAAAAAAATTATAAATAAAATCGCAGTACCAGATTTGCCATCGGATGTTCCTGTGAACGCACATCTAAATCGGGATGATTATCCTAAGAGAGCGCCGCAATTTATAACGGTAAGTGGATATACCTTTTTTTTCTTTAATACTGCTGATATGTATACTAGGGTGGTCCAAAGAGAGTAAAGTCGTAATTTTAATGCTCTCACCCTCTAGGAATGTTCTACGGCGAAAAAATATGCTCCTACTTTTTTTTGTGAAATAAAAAAAATATTTAGAGGTCGCTCAAAGCGCTTAAAGTTTTCTATGTATTTTATATGAGGAAAAAGCAACTTTTCATAGAAATGGTATGGAATTCTTGAAAATCAATATTTTTCGATCGGAAAACTTTGGTTCTCTTCAGAAGATTTCCAGTAATAATACTCAATTGTTTATTTAACCATTTTTTAATACTAACGATTTTTTGCTGGTGCCCCCATTACATTTTTTGGTGCTTCTGGGAGATTTTGGCGGGACTATTAACTATAGTTACTATAAAAATATGGTTAAGTAAATAATCGGGTATTATTCTAGGGAATCTCGTGCAGAGAAGCAGAAAATTTTGATTGTTAAGAATTCTATACCATTTCTACGAAAAGTGTTTTTTTCACATAAAATACATGGAAAACTTTGAGCGCTTTGAGCGACCTCTAAATATTATTTTTAATTTCAAAATAAAAAATAGGGGTATATTTTTTCGGTATAGAACCATCCTAGGGGGTGAGAGCATAAATATTCCGACTTTACTTTTTCACATGCATTTTGGACCACCCTAATGTACATAGATCCATATGTACTTATATAATGAACCAACAAAGAATACAAAATTTACCTACTTTGCTTCTCCTTTAGCCGCTCAAAGAATACGCTGTCATGGTCGGCCAAAGTGCTCGCTTCGAATGCATCGTACAATCACAACCACCATCGAATGTAATATGGGGCCGCAACGGCGTTGAATTGCAGAACAGTCCCAAAATTGTTATTGAATATCGAAATGGTGTCTGCCGTTTGACCATACCACAAGCATATCCGGGTAAGTGCCTTTTGCAGTCATATGCAATTTTTTTTACAACAAAAGCTAAACGAAAAAATTTACTTTCCATCTCACTAGATGATGCCGGTGTTTATTCCTGTACCGCCACGAATCCCTTAGGCACGGCCACCACTTCCGGACAACTGCTCGTGCAAACCAAACGTTTATGAATAAATTTTGCCAAATGAAATGAAGAAGTTTGGAGCTAATTTGACATAGGCATGTAAAAATCTAGGATCAATGCGGAATGTCTTAAACTTTTCAAATGTTTCATGTGTTTATAGAAGTTTTTGAAAAAAAAAATGTTCAAGGGCGCTTAAATTTGATATTATTAATTGCTCTGCATACATGCATACAAACATACATACATGCACGTGAATATGCCATACATGATAAAACAGTTCAGAATAATATTGTTTGTATGTATGTACATATGTATGTACTCGTATCTACGTATAGAAAACGAAATTTTTCGAGTTATTGGGATATTACGACTACTCGAACTGAGTCCTGTTGCAAAAAAAAAAATTTTTACTAAAATACTCATCTGTTCAATGCATTGTGAGCAAAGAAGCTATTACGGAACTATTAGGCCGAATTTTGAAAAATGTATTTATGTGCCGAAATTGTCATTGTTTATGCTTATATAACAATAGTATTACATGTGTTTTTATGATTATGATTATTATTTGAATAAATTATTCGTGGAACTTTCTTTTGAAGAAAAATTGTACAACTGTGCAAAGAATCATTTGACAGTAGCATTGTATTATGTATGTACATTACATACATTAGGGCTGATTTTTCTGGACTAACTACCCTACCGAAAAACATGTAGCCAAGTGTGATTTTTGGGTAAAAAGGCAAAAGGTAAATATTTAGTTCGATCTACACTTCGAACTTCACAAATCACAAACCTTTACCACCTAAACTAGCCTTACTAGCCTTTTGAGACGCCAATAATCCTTTGGTTTTCAGTGTTGCTTAACTGTAATTATCAACACATTTTTCTACATATCGGCGTCTGGATAAAAGATTTTCGTAAGCACCATTTTGACGATTTTGAGTTATTGATGCAGTTATATATTTTAAATCAAGATCTCTCGATTGGCGTTATCAGTCTTTGGGTATCTCCTTTAGTTTCCGAGATACTGCGTAAAAAGTATCGTTTCTTGTATACCTACCATTTCACATCTGCCATACAAAGTGGCTGCAAAATTGTTGACATATGTAGCATACGAAAAAAAATTTTGCTTAAAAAAAACCTTCATGAACTCAAAAATAATTAAAAATAAACAATAAAAAAAAATAAACATTCTCCGGGATTTGGAGAAAATACATCGTCGCGTTTTTGAGAAATTGCATTCCAAACTTCAATTGCGATTTCCTAAAACCTGCCGAAAGTAACAGACGACAATCTTTTATCCATGCGAAGGCATGGACCAAGGACTTTCACGGTAAAATATGTTATACAATATGGCGTAACAACCCCAAATTTTGTAGGAGTTACTTTGAACGGAGTAGTTTTATATTCAGTCTATACAACTGCGCCTTTAATGTGTAAAAAATTTGTGCCTCTATCATAAAATTATGATTAGCTTTGTTCATAGGGTAGGTGATCAACAGGGAATGAAATCTTAAGGCCTAAAAACCTATTAACTCTCCGTCAGACACATGTTTCGATTGGCACATTCGGTACGCATGAGTCTGGCTGGACCCACATGCAAATTGTATGAATTTATATAGAAATTATGTGCAACATTTGTTCAGTTAAACTTATTTATTGTAAGTTATTCAAATATTTACTTAATTTAAAGGTTTTCTTTTTTTATTTTATTATTTAAATACACTGGCGATCAAAACCGGGTGCATGTTCGACATTTTATTACTTACAGTAACATAACTTTTTTAATAATAAGCGGATTGCTTTGAAATTTTCAAAAATTTTTCCTTATTATCTGAGATATAAAGCCCAGTAAATAGAAAAATTAACAAGTGATTCACAGCAAAAACGCAAGGCAACTATCTTCACTCAGTTTTGAACTTTTAGGAAGTATATATCAAGAGGATTATGGAGACTCCTTTGCTTTTAATAGCGATTTTCATACGTCCGGGAATGCTCTCTACTGAGTTTTCTATGATTTCGCTTGGAATATTACCCCATTATAATTTTGCTCACCTCCAAAGCTCTTTCATGTTACTGGAGCTCGCTTGTGCTATGCTAATCCTCTCTTGACCACAGCGCTCAATTTTTCGATAGCTTTGAGGTCTGGGATTTATGCTGGCCACCATGGTAGATTTTTTTCTTGGCATGATGTTTTTGAAGATGTTAATAAGGTCTTTCCCAAAAATATGCCTTCTTATCGCTTTGGAAATAATTAATTTTCGTTCCATCGGACCATATTACCCCTCTTCAGTTAAAAAGCTCGAATTCTCGTGACTTTTACAAAATTTAAGTGGCAGCTTAAAGGCTTGGGATGTTTTGCTTGCTGGCATTTGGTGTCTTGGGTTAATATAAAAGGTATAATGAACATATCCTCCAAACAAATTGCCGGACCATCGAAAAATTGAGCGCTGTGGTCAAAAGAGGATTAGCATAGCACAAGCGAGCTCCGAGTAACATCATTTTAGGTAACAAGTAATTTTTTGCAAAAAAAACCGACTTCAATTCTCATATAAAAAAATAGATATATATACTAGTGAACCCGCATGACGTCAAAACGCCAACATTTAATTAAACTTTTTAAACAGGTGAAACCCTATTAAATAACCTCTAAAAATATTCCTAATGATTAATCGAAGCCATTTCTCAGTGGTGCTTTTAAAGTTTACGACATACAACAATACGACACTTACGACACCGTTGTGAATCCCCCAATAATTTCTTGAAACTCTTTCATTTGACATCCATCGCTCATATTTCATATAACTTATACCCAATAGTTCAATTAAATAGGTGGCAACCCTATTCAAAATATTTCCAAACTACTACCTTCTTAAACCTCTTTCCATATAGCGATACCTTATTCACTTACCAAATTCCTTTACATAATTAAAATTGAATACATTTTTTTTTACATGTGGCAACCCTCCTATACGTAGTTAAGTTATAAAGCCTTTTCAAAACCATTTCGATTGCTACCCATATTTAATAATTGATTTAACTTATTAATTAATTTGAGCTTAATTTCTTAACAGGTGGCAACTTTTTACGAAAAAGTAAAACCTTCTTGAACATCCACACCCTAAAGGCTTCGTTATGCATACTTGGCGTTGCTTGAGAGTTGTCACATAAGGAATCTGTTAAATGAGCTTCGCGTGTAAGCGGTTACCCAACGCACAGTATTACATACGTAAAAGTCTGTAGGTTTTTGATTTCTACGTAAAAATGGTATAGCAGTGCATGCAATGCCAAGTATGCATAACAGAGCCCTTAGCCCTTTAATTTGGTACCTCACTTTTGAAAATCAAACGGACGGTGCGGATCTGAGGGCATTGATTAGTAAATAACTTGAGTATAATTAACTATTTAACAGGTGGCATCCCCTTTCGAAAAAATAAAATCAGTTTGCACATCTACAGGCCAAGCGCTTTAATTTGACACCCCGAACGAACGGTGCAGATCTTTTATGCTGCACAAAAAATGCCTTCGCATATTATATACATAGATATATCTCATGATCCACTGATCGGATCTTAACCAAATTAGTATGGGACCACCTCCGAGATACTACCTTTCCGATGCAAAAATAATTATCGGTTGACGGTAGTAAAGTTGACGGTCGGAAAGTTATGCGGTAACATACATATAAAAAAAATAAATATATATATTCCGACGAACTGATAACCTCCTCCTTTTTTGGAAGTCGGTTAAAAATGCAAATCATCTCTTGCCATGATAGTTCAAAAATTCAAAAGAACACTTTGAAAAACGGTTGCATTCTTTCATTTTAGGTAAAAATTACATAGGAATATATGTGGGTCCAGCCAGACCTATGTGTTACGAATGTGATGTATTAATCAACATCTCTATATATCTAGCTTTATATATATGATACCAACACGATTTTTTACAGATTGGTAATTCACTAAACTTTAGTAAGCTACCTGAAATTTCAAGCCTCTAGCTATATTTAAAGTACCCTTTTTTGTAATTTGAAAATGGAAAAGGCCTGGCTGGACTCATGTGTCAGACGAAGGGTTAAAAAAAAGCAAAATAAAATAACGAAATAAACTGGAAAAGATACTAAAAATCGCAAAAAAGGTAACAAACGAAAATTAATCAAAAAATATATTTGTTTTAGAAATGTTTAATTTACAAGTAAAAAGAGGAAAACTATGAACTAGTTTCGTTATATAAAAAATTTGTACTTTGAATCTTTGACTATTTCCTCCTTTCGAGTTTTTTACTCACAAAACTTCAATCGCTATAGTTGTAATAACATTGAACTACGAGATGTCCTTTGAAGATTTCTGGCAGCATTTTCATTCGATTTTCGCGAAGAAAAGTCTTGACTGTAGGTAGTAAACATGCGCTCGACGTGAGTTGATACAAGTGGCGCCCAATTTAAATATGCAATGTTTTAAACTTTCATATTATCAGGAATAACAGCTTTTTCCGTGGCTTTTACAAGTAAAGGTTGAAAAGGCGAAAAAGCGCAAATATCTTAAAAAAGGTAACATCAAATGTGTATATATGGAATCAGGGAAAGCTAAATCGAGGACATTCTTAATCGAATATACTCTATCCCTTTAGCAGAAAAAAGGACAGTTTCCATAAAATCCGTTCCCTGGTGATCAACATGTGGAGATTCGAAGATTGATTATAACGTAGGGACGCTAAACTTGCACAAAAAAGTTGCGAGAGCGTAAACTTAATTTTTGGTCGAAATAACGGATCTTTATACCGTTTCTAAATGTCTAGATCAGGCAATTTTCCCAAGATATTTTCACTTTAAGTTTGCATTGCGAATGAAAAAGAATCAAACTTTATCATAGAAAATGTTACTCATACGCCATGTACGAGTATTAACGATTACGACCATGTATGACATGGCGTAATGTGACCAACTCTTCCATAGCTCAAAGAAGTACAGCCTAGGTTGGATTAAGTTAACGCCGCGAGCCGATTACGAAATTTCGAATAGGGCTAATTTCGATCCCTGAGAGCTCAGTGTTTGTTCAGAAGTGCGAGGATCAGTTGATATTCCTAGTCTCACCGTATGAATACCAATCGCACAATGGCCAGTCAGAAGCCCCATCACTAGCCCTTGAGAGGTAACGTGTTTCAAGATGTCCTATAAAAATACTTGCTGCAGCAAAGAAACGTCTTCCTTTCCTTTTTTATGCCACAAAAGGACTCGGTTTCCCTTAGCCCAATAGCAGTTCGTGCTGCGACAATTCTGTCTGCAATTACCGCAGGCGCCGTGTTCGACATATGTATGTTAAACGCCAGTGTAGATGTGGTTCCTAATGCTATGCTAATTCCTATTTTACAAGTGTAGCCTTCTCTAGTGAGTTCCACCAGACCAGGGCTCCTTGAAACAATATAGGCTTAAATCTGATTTCCTAGAACTAATGAATTCATTTGGGCGAGAGACCTCACCTTTTACCGATAGCTCCCCCACAGCAGTACAAGGCAACCGACACCTTTGCTACCCTTTCCTCAATGTTAAGCTCCTACGACAGCGGCCCTTGAACACTCACCTAGTTACCTGGTTCAGTTAACCT